ATACACACACATCCAGAACCTGCCAAATGCACATTTGTTTTAAGCCAGCAATTGGTCCAATAACAGGCTTTTCTAAGAGAAATCTGTGATTGGACTTCACACGGCCCCAGTGTGGTGAGGAGGTAGGAGGTGGAAGAGCAATACTGGGAGCTTTGCCTGGCACTGGATTCAAGGTGAGTAAACCCTTTTTATTTCAGGTTTTACTTCACATTGAGAGGTAGGAATTCCCCATAGTGCCCAATAGTTCATATTACACCGGACAGGTACCCCCTCTCAATAGGGTTATACTAAGCCTTTAATTTACAGTTGACCATTATGAATTCAGCAAACATACATTTGAACAGTAAAAGGTCTGTGTAAAAATAATTTATATATATATATATATACACACACACATATATATATATCATATGTTATGCATTACAAACAACTCTGTATAAACAGGATCTGTACACCAACAGTGATAAATAGGGATTTCCTCAGAACCATTACAACTACCATTACTCTGTGCTAATGAGGATAAACAATGATTTGCAAGATGGCTATTAGCATACATAAATATATTTATGAACCCAAATAATTCCTCCTTAGAGACAGCAAAACTTTAAAGATCAACTCCCCGAGGCTGCATATTATAAAATATTAGTCTCCCATGATTGTGGTTGGTACAAAAGAGTACAAATTCTTTTTTAGTAAATTTTGGATATGAACCCCAGCTGGGCCCTTCCAGCCAGGCATCGCAAACACACAGAGCAGCAATGATTTGTGCCGAGAAGCCATGAATAAACTCAAATAATAAGACATCCTTAAAACCTAAACAGCTTCAGGGTCCTGCTGCACAGTCTCTTAAATGTAAAATGTAAGTAACAATGTAGAGCATGTAACTGCTTGAAAGTTAGGAATGTAAAACTTAACAGCGTTAGGGTCTAACTTTCTCAAGTCCTGAAAGGAGTTTATTCACTGGACAGTGAGTTGCAAAATACAGGGCAAAATAGCAGATTTAAAAAAAAAAGGCTAACTACAATCATAGCACAGTTCTCTTGTTCACATAATCTTCAGCAGGGGCGTTGCTAGGGGCTTAAGCCCCAAACTACTTTTGTGACCCCTTTCTAAAGCTCCGCATCTGCCCTACCGCAATTCTATCTTTTAACATACCTCTTGGACACACACAGATATACATAAACACACAGACGCCAGACACACACAGATTATGCACAATCACACAAAGGCACACACACACACACAGACCGGCAATGGCACACACACATACAAGCGCTGACAGACACAGAAAGGTACACAAATGTGAATTGCGGGGGGCGTGGCCATGACCTTGACCAAGATGGCTGCTTAGTCCGTGTGCTCTGCTCCATCATACCCCCTAAACGGCGATTGCACACCGCTACAGACGACAGATGGGTCGCAACAAGCGCACGGAGCCCTCACAGACACCGAGGGGCTCCCAACAACACCACTCTCAGGGCCTCATGGACTCCTTTTTACAACCGACCCCCGGTTCCGGAGGAGAGCCGGCGGGCCCGGGTTCAACGCCGCCATCTCCTGCCTCCTCATCGGGCACAGAGCACTCCGCACTGGATCAGATAGGTGAGGAACTCCGCTCCATCGCGGCCTCTATGGCCACTAAAACTGACTTGCTCACACTTACCACCACGATACAGGACGCCCTACGCGCGGAGATGGCATCAGGGCGGAAGTGACCGCTCACGGAACCCGCATTGAGGCCCTGGAAAACTCGATAGAGACCCAATCCTCCAGGATATCATCAACTGACCTGGCGATTTCATGGCAGGGAGACATGCTCCTCAACATGAGGAGACACCTGGAAGACCTCGATAATAGAGGTCGCAGGTGCAACATCCGGGTTAGGGGGGTCCCGGAGACAGGAGGCGGCGGAGATTCTGTCAGGCCTTTTTAATATGCTGCTACAAGCTGAGGCGCCTCAACATTTCGAATTCGAACGGGCACACAGAGCTGCGCACCCGCGATCCATTGAAGATGGGCCGAGGGATCTCATCTGCTGTCTCCACTCCTTTCCCATCAAGGAATCTATTATGAGGAAGGCCCGCGAACGTCCAGACTGGACCTATCGTAATTCTCAGGTCTCTCTCTATAATGATCTTTCTCCCCTCACGCTTGAAGCCCGAAGAGCTCTAAGGCCGGTTACGGCGGCCTTACGCGAACGCCACATCGACTACAAATGGGGCTTCCCCTTCACGTTGCTGGCCCGCCACCATGACAACTGGATATCAGCGAGGTGGCCAGCGGAGATACCACACTTTCTAGAAACCCTGGAGCTGCCACCTATCCCAGTCACGAACAGGGTCCTCGGACCCGCTGGACAGGGTCCGCAACCTCAAAGAGCTCCACGGAGGCGCAGGGACGGATCCCCCAGAGGCAGCTCCCCAGGCGACGCATGGATCAGGGAGGCCAGGCCGAGTGAGTACCGCCCCCAGAGATGGGGAACCCGTGCCCGTACTCCTGGTCCCAGCTACCCCGTTGATGTAAACCCAAGGACCTACCCTGACACCTAAGTCTGATCTCCCCTAGACCGGCTTTCCTCCCCTCCCCACCATACAGGCTGCCATAGACTGCATACCCTCACCTGCGGCTGCCTCCTAACCTTAGGCCACCTGGTGCGACCACGGGATGAAACTACACCTATGACTCCGAAGAACGCATTTGTACAAAACTTGGTTAGGGTGTATGCTGTAAGTGACAAGTGGAGTATTATCTCCTCATCCAATAATAATAGCGAAACCTTAGAGCTGCACCTTGTAGACTCACTCAGACACCGATTTGACTCCAACGTTGACTCCTTTTGATCCTCCTTGGACTTCCTTCTAATGTTCAGCCATTGCTCGGGTAACACAATGCCTTCGAGCTTTCACCCAGTAACGATTGGTGAATGCATAAATGGTGACCTTGGGGAGAATATGGACTACTTTCGCAACAAGACTATTACACCGCACATCCCGGAGGTGATCATGGGTGGATGACTGTTCTAGTACTGCACTTTTTTGGGGCGGGGATCCCAGCCATTACCTACAGAAGACAACGATGCAGCGATATATGTACCCACGTTGCTCAGTGGACTTCCCACACTTATGGGAGCAGCTGTAAACACTGGAGCACTGCCTACAAGATCGCTTTTCGGGAACAGAGGACAACCGATGGGACTACCTTCAGACACTATTTCATGTAGTGAATGAATGCACGATGTGGCTCATGGGCCATGAACGTGGACACACAACTGCCTCTACTACCTCCATGGCGGGATAAACTTTCTCTGTGTAATCTGCCCCAATAGTTTCCAGTTTCACATGCTCCTACCGACCAACCCCCTTCCTGAGTGATGACTGCCATAACAGCTATTATTTTACACCTGTCCAAACTGAGATGCCGTTCTTGTCACACATGGCTTCCTCGATGGAACTGAGTTGGCAAGGATGGTACTCCATCCTTCCTTTACCTGCCCTACTGCATTTTCACTGAACTCCTGGGAAGAATTTGCCCATCTATACAGGGACTTGTTACACTGTTTTGGACTTTTTACCGATTAGGATGTTGGCTACTTATGCCACTGGTAAGCTTTGATTGCAAGTTAAATGCTGATATGTATGTCCGTGGCGCTATCTGTTTACAGCTGCTTTTCCCGATACATTTAGCAGGGCTGTCAACTTTATCCACACCTCAACCACTCCCATCACTATGACACCCCTCTAGATTAAGTTGATGTGTATATGGTAATGGGATGCGGGGTTAACGGGTCAATCTGGACTGTATACGGGACATTTATCACGCTATATGCATGAGGTCCCCCCGGGTACTGAATGGGAGGGATGTAACACATGGGGACCGAGAGGAGCACGCTAGGGAGGCGAACAATCTCATACTGCGGTACATACTACCTCTCCCCACACTGCATACATTGGAGATGGGCAGGCCACACGTAGGGGGGACAAGGGGGAAAACCACAACCCGAATTCGGATTAACACACGACCTCACTTGGACCCACTGTACGTACACAACCGGGGGGAGGGGTTGGACGCGGGAATGACGAACACTGCCTTTACAAGACAAACACTGACTCCCTAAACATGGGACGGACATTGTAGACAGCAACTTTATACCGGGGGTAGGGACTCCGAATACATAGGGGGGGACACTACCGGGGAACTATGGGACGGGCGGGGAAAACTATATCGGTTGATTACTAACATGCTGTGATTATCATGCTGCTTCGTTGAGCTCATGTTGTTGTTCTGTTTATTATATTTGTTTATTTATGCATTGAATCGCCTCATGGAATGCGTATGTTCAGCAAAAATGGGGTGTTATGTGGATGGATACTACTTCTCCACAACCACTTGATATCACCTGGTCGGGTACTGACCCACGTAACCTCACCCATACTCGTGCTAAAGACGTGTGACGGACCACAGTGGGACATTGTCTAAAGGTCTGGTTACCAGGACGTGCTCCCTGTGCTACCCGCCGCAGCATGAGTCGCCCCACTTCTTGGGGTGGCACACGAGGGGTACCTCTTACCCCGGCGTAAACACCCACTAGACGGGAAGTTTACTTTACTTTTCTCTCCTCCTTTTCCTTCTGTCCTCTAACCCACCCCTATCTCTATCCATTCCCATCTCCTCCTGATCACTCTCATTTACCTGCCATCTCCCCCCTCCTCACTCCACCTCATCTCCACCCCCACTGCCTGCTAAAGCAGACTTCTCCCCTCCCCGCACCAATTGGCCTGCCACGGGAGCCTGCGCCCGCGCGGAGTGGTTGGAACCGTATTGGGGTGGGAGGAGGTTTGGGAACTCATCGCTCACCACACATACCCCTCATACGCTAAAAGACCATGGCCTATCAGCCGGCACCCCTATCTGTACTCACTCTTAACTGCAGGGGATTGAACATCCCGGAACGGAAGACTCACCTCCTGCGCGAGCTTAAGAAAAGACACGCGTCGTTGGCGATGCTACAGGAAACGCACTTTCGATCCGGCGCAACGCCTACACTTCAAAATAAATCATATCCGACAAACCATTTCTGCAACCACCCCACGGCAAGGAAGGCAGGGGTAGCGATACTGCTCTCCACGGAATTGGAATTCCAGGTACTGGACACCGTTACCGACACACAAGGCAGATACCTCTTTCTGAAGGGGACAATAGCGGGCAAACTATACACCTTTGCCAACATTTATGTCACCAACAAACGACAAGCAATGTTCCTGAAAAGCACCCTGGCGAAACTGAATGACTTCTCGGAGGGCATCCTGGTCCTCGGGGTCGACTTCAATGTCCCACTGGACCCCATTCTGGACTCCTCCACGGGGCACAGCAGCATTTCACAACTACATTTATGAGCAATCCGGAGAACCCTGGGCGATATGGACCTGGCCGATTGCTGGAGGACACTCAACCCCTCCGTGAAAGACTTTACATACTACTCCGCAATTCACGATAGGTACTCTCGCATCGACTACCTCTTTATCAGACAAGCGGGGTTATCACGAATAATATCGGCCAAGATAGAACCCGCCACGTGGTCAGATCACGGCCCCGTGGTAATGGAACTCGAGTCTCCATTTTTTCGACCTTCTAGGTGGACATGGAGCCTCAACAAGACCCTGCTCCTGGACCCTGGCACACGGGAACAAGTTTCACAAGCCCTGAACCACTATTTCCAAGATAACGCGTCACCGGACATCTCTCCAATAACGATTTCGGAAGCCCACAAGAGCGTCCTTCGGGGCACGCTAATACGCATAGCTACACATAAGAAAAAGGCAGCGATGACGGAGATGGCTAACCTCTACAGACGAATCACAGAGCTGGAAACCCAGCATAAAAGATCACTCCTTCTGGAGACATATCGGGATCTGATGCAAACCAGGCGACAGCTAAAGGTGCTCCTTATGAAACGCCACCACCGCTCCCTGCAACGCTCTAAAGCATTTTTTTACACCCACGCTAATAAGGGGGGACGATTCCTTGCCTGTCTACTGAGGTGCCAGACGCCCCGCACTCAGGTTTGCAGGTTACACCTCACCTCAGGCGGGATCTCTGGCCTACCGGCGGATATTGCAGGGGAATTCCAGTTGTTTATCGATCCCTGTACAACTTGGATGCGGAGAACACGCAGGCGCATTCGGCAACGATAATGGCGCGCACACGGGATTACCTCCACGACACAGTCGGACCAACAATCCCGCCGGATACAGCCACCGACCTGGAGACCCAGGTCACGGAGGATGAATTGGCGGCAGCACTAAAGTCAACCAAGAGGGGGAAGGCACCAGGCCCGGACGGATTCTCCACAGGTTATTATAAAACATTTTCATCAATAGTCCTACCGTGGCTCATGAAGGCCCTTAATGCGATCGCTGATGGGGGTCGCTTCGGCGCCGAATCCCTAGCAGCCACTATAACTGTTCTCCCTAAACCCGGAAAAGACCCATCGCTCTGCGGTAGCTATCGTCCGATCTCGTTGTTGAACGTCGACACCAAACTTTTTACAAAAGTGCTTGCTAACAGGCTCCAATCCAGGCGAGGGATAGCACGCTTCGGCTCTTCGCGATACAACACCAGGTGAGGAAAACACAGCAACCCCTTCTCCTGATTTCCATGGATGCTGAGAAGGCGTTTGATCGTGTGAAATGGCCATATATGTTCGCCACCCTTGGGCAGATGGTACTGGGACACAGATTCCTCACGATGATTCGGGCTCTGTACAATAAACCATGGGCAGCGGTGCGAGTCAACGGTGCACTCACCGGAGATTTCGAAATCTCCAATGGTACGAGGCAAGGATGCCCTCTGTCCCCGTTACTCTTTGCTATCTCGTTGGAACCCTTGCTTCAGAGGATACGCCAGTATCCAGACATCAGTGGCTTCACGTGGCTGGGCACAACACATAAGGTAGCCGCATATGCGGACGATCTCCTATTTTATATAACAAACCCTCGAATTGCGATGCCCTGCCTGCTGTCGGAGTTCGAGATATTTGGCTCGATCTCGGGCTTCAAGCTCAACTTATCAAAATGCGAAGTGCTAAATGTATCAATGCCCGAGGGTGAATATGCGGTTCTGGAATCATTGTTTACATTCCGGTGGTGCTTTCAAAAAATGAAATATCTTGGGATCTGGATAACCCCAAACCCTAATGATCTATACCGACACAACTTTGCTCCCCTCCTGAAGAAAGTAACGACGGACTTGAAAAGATGGGCGCACCCGCACATTTCGTGGCATGGGCGGGTAGCAGTTCTAAAGATGAACATCCTACCGCGGCTGCTTTATCCGTTCCAAACAATCCCACTGGCCCTACCGACAACCTTCTTCTCCGCTTTAAAATCTGCGGTCATGCGGTACATATGGCGAGGGGAGAGGGCGAGACTACGATATGACCTACTCTGTCTCCCCAGGCATCGTGGTGGCCTAGCGTTGCCTGACTTCAGGAAGTATCACCAAGCCACGGTCCTGCAGCGTATAATTGAGTGGCACGCAGAATCTCAACAAAAGCAATGGGTGACACTGACGCGGGACAACCCTGACACCCCTGTGCAACCAGCCATCTGGGGAGGGGCTGCTGGAACAAACGCTATACACCTGGAATTCCATGAGAGAGGTAACCCACATCTCACCTACACCTAGTCCGATGCTTTCCATCACTCATAACAAAGAGATAGGGGGTGGATTTCCACCAGCGATGTGGCCTTTTTTGGAAGGACGTGACTACATACCAATTCACACAACCCTACAGAATGGATCACTGCGTTCCCTAGACGACCTATTAGAGGGACAACCCCGGACGCCATTGGCAATACTCCGTTACTTACAGGTGAAGCATTACCACGATAATATGCGGGACAAGGAACGATTACATAGGGCACGCACATGGTTTGAGGACTGCTGCGAGAGGAAGATCGTACTGGACAATGCTATCTCTATACTTTATCAACACCTACTGACGGGGCATCTGACGGCGAATGCAATGTTCCGCAGGCAATGGGAGGAGCGGATGGACACAACCTTCACAACACAACAATGGGATAAGGCACTTCTGTGGCTACACAAAAGCTCGGTCAGCTCTCAATATCAAGAAACAAACTACAAACTGATTGCCTCATGGTACAGGACCCCGGTCCTTCTACACAGGATCTTCCCATCCGTTGCTCCAACATGCTGGAGATGCCAGAGGAGTAGAGGGACGATGATGCATTTATGGTGGGAATGCAGCGAAATAACCCCGTTCTGCAATCTAATCAGACAACGAATAACAGACATACTGGGCGACATGACGGAATGGTCAGCCGCTCTGGCCCTCCTACATATATCACAGATGTCGTTACCCTCCTATAAAAAATCAATCCTCAGACATCTTTTGAACGCGGCCAAGTCACTCATCCCGTTATACTGGAAACGGACGGAGATACCAAATGAAGAAGAATGGATCCGCAGGGTTGAGGATATTCAGGGGGCTGAAGCACTACAGGCATCCCTACAGGACAGAGGGGGTAAACACGCCGAGCGGTGGTTTCCATGGTTTACCTTCATATCACAAAACATGCGGGGCTAGGACGGTGACCCGGTGACGCACGCGGGGGCGCCGGGCTTCCCGGGGCAAGGCCAATGTGCACTTCCCAACACCATAATCCTCCACCCACGCCCTCAGTACAACGGACGCACCTCTGCTACCTCTTCATTCCCTCTCTCTTTTGTCCGCATCTCTAAACAATCGCCACTGGATGGCTAGATGATTTGTTAGACCCCAACACACACATCCGAGCGACGACGGAGGTCACCTTCCGAGCGTACATAGCTAAGCGACAATGAGCTCACTACATGTCAGGCGGGGTGGTGTCCATTTCAGGGGGACATACTACTCTATTTTAATGTACCCTACTGATGTATGCTTGGTGTAACTCTAGAAAACAATGCCCTCCCTCTTCTTCCCACCCTCCCCCTCCTCCCCCTCTTGTAACTCTTTTCTATTCTTACACCCAGTGCCACACACTATTACGACAGGAACTCTAGCACGCTTATGTGCAGTCCACACGTACGGTGATATGTTGAGACGTTACATGTTAGTGGACAAGTATGTGTAATGCTTTATGCGTATTCTCTTATGATATACTGAGCGATTGCCCTAAAGCTAAAATTTGTGATATTCTCATGCCTCTGAATTATGTCTCTCCTTTACCGATAATCCTGCAATGGTGATTTCCATACAAAAAAAAAAAAAAAAATGAGGCTAATAATTGTTTAGAGATGTTGTGCACTGCATTGTAATACCCCTGTTTTGTATGGAACTTTACTGTGCCTTATTTTTTTGCATTGTGTATTCATAATTTTCTTTCCCCAATAAAAAGAAATTGGTAAAAAAACTAAACAAATGTGAATTGCATATGTCAGCGTCACAGATTTCCACTGTAATAAACCTCACCAATGCTGGTGACTTGTCTTTGGTGTCTATATACGTAGCTGTCACATTATCCAGCGACAATTACCTGTCCCTGGGTGACCACGGCATTCTAGAAGTAGGTTCATGAGGGCTGTGGCACCCGCTGCCTCTGCAGCACTCTCCGTCAGCTGACTGCAGTCTCCACCATTAGCGCCAGGCTCTGGGAAGCCCTGACATAGTAAGATGGCAGCCGCTACATGGACGTCCATGCAGCATGCAGAAAAAAAGTAAAAGCTGAGGGGCGGCTTGGGGAGACAGAGGGGAGGGACTGCAACACAGCCAACATGGCGCAAAGTCCCAGTATGCCTTTTATAGCCACTGGGGGCTCCGCATACAGTTGTGTGTGTATAGGGATTGTAGTGTCTGTTTATAAGGGATGCAATGCATGTGCGGGACAAGTAGTGTGCGCGAGGGATGTAGTATGTGTAGTGGATGTAGTGTGTATGTAGATAATGCAGTGTGTGTCTGTGCTTGGGATGTGTAGGAGTGCTTTGTAGGAGATATTTTATGGGATAGAGGTTGTAGTTTGTTCAGCCACCCCACCCTGATCAGCAACACAACTAGACCATACCTTCCATAAAACAATTCAAATGATATTCAATGTACTATAGATTTCCAAAAAATCCTTAATTGAAAAAATAAATGCAAAATTTATACATAACATATTCACATGGCAGAGAGGGACTGACCTCCTGGAGGAGGTTTCGGTTAGTTGTTGAAAAAGTGCTAGTATGTATAAACATGGCAACACACAGGAAATATTTTGCTAAACAGCTTTACTAAAATTGCATCTGAAACCAAAAAAAAGTATGTCAGATTGTATTTTGTATTCATAATGGTCAATAAGTATAGAGTAGAACCAAAATGAATAAAGCGTTTCTTGGGGAAATAATCACAAAA